GAATGACAACTCTCGATTGGTTGGAGTTACAAAAGAAGATGGTCGTGATTGCTGGAGGTTGATTAAAGAGTCCCAGAACATCACTGCAGGAATAGCTAGTGATGCCCTAGACCCAACTGTTTTAAGCTGCTTCAATTAACATCCTTCCATCATAAAGATCAGAAGTGACAATGTGCACTATGATTGCAGTGTTCAGTACCATTCACAACTCCACAAGTTACTGGTATATGCCAATGTATGCCAAGATCCAAACAACACTCAGGCTTGGGCTGATAAACAGGAAGGCATATTCAAGGCACATTCAGGCAATGGCGATTTCCAACAAGAGGAAATCTAACCATCTGCCCTTGACATTAACATGGTTAAATCCCCCACTATCATTAACCTGGAGGTCATCATTGATCAGCAAATGTACTGAACCAGGCATATAAATAGTGTGGTTGCAAGAGCAGATCAGATGATGGGAACTCAAACCTCTATCATCAACACACAGGTCAGAATGTGATAGAATATTCCCCGCTTGCCTGGATGACTGCAGCTGAAATGACACTCGAGAAGCAAAACAATATTTAGAGCTAAGCAGCCTGCTTGACTGGAACACCATTCACCAACTTAAACATCCATTTCCTCCACCATCAACACACACAGCAGTGTAACATATTGGATGTCCTGCAGAAACTTGCCAAGGATCTTTGGAGCACCTTTTTGAACACAACTTCCACCATCTAAAAGGCAAAGGGTATCAGATGGATGGAAAAATCATTCATGTCACTGGGTCTAAAGCTTGGAATTGCTGTGCCAGGAACACTGTGGGCATTCGTCCACCAGACAGGCTGCAGTGGTTCCTTGGTAGCAGTTCACAACCTTCAAGGGTAATTGGGGACGTGCAACAAATGCTTGCTTGACAGCATCATTCACCACTTATCTCAGAATAAAGCATATATATGACATATGTTTGACTCCACAACTACAACAATGTCATTGACAACTTTTGTTATTCACTCGTGGGATCATAGAATCAAAGAAGAGAATCATAGAATCCCTACAGTGTAGAAACAGGCCCTTTGGCCCAACAAGTCCACACCCACCCTCCGAGCATCCCACCCAGACCCATCCCCCTATAACCCACCTAATCTACACATCCCTGAACATTACGGGCAATTTAGCATGGCCAATCCACCTGGCCTGCACACCTTTGGACTGTGGGAGGAAACCCACGCAGACACAAGGAGAATGTGCAAACTCCACACAGACAGTCGCACAAGGGGGGAACTGAACCTGGGTTCCTGGTGCTGTGAGGCAGCAGTACTAACCACTGAGCCACCATGTCGCATCGCAGGCTGGCTTGTCTGTTGCTGCCTTATAAAGGTGATGGTGAGTTGCTTTCTTGAACTGCTGCAGTCCATGTGCTGTAGGTAGACCCACAATGCCCTTAGGGAAGGAATTCCAGGATTTTGCCCCAGCAACACTGAAGGAATAGCGATATATTTCCAAGTCAGGATGGTAAATTGTTTGGAGGAGAACTTGCAGGTGGTGGAAACATTACCATCCACCTACTGCCCTTGTCCTTCTCGATGGAAGTGGCCAGGGATTTGTAAGATGCTAAGGATCTTTGGTGAATTCCTGCAGTGCATCACGTAGACAGTACACACCACAGCTACTGAGCATCGCTAGTGGAAGGAGTGGATGCTTGTGGATGTGATGCCAATCAAGTGGGCTGCTTTGTCGTTGATGGTGTCAAGCTTCTTGAACATTGTTGGAGCTATATTCTTCCTGGCAAATATGGAAATATTCCGTCACACTCCTGACTTGTGCCTTGTAGAAGATGGATAGACTCTGGGGAGTCAGAAGCTGAGCTGCTCACCATAGTATTCTTAGCCTCTGACTTGCTCATAGCCACTGTATTTATATGGCGAGTGCATTTGAGTTTCTGATGAATGGTAGCCTCCACGATGTTGATAGTGGGAAAATTCATTGATAGTAACATCACTGAATGTCAAAGCATAGCGGTTAGATTGTCTCTTATTGGATATGGTTATTATCTAGCATTTTTGTGACCTGGATGTTAGTTGCCATTTGTCAGGTCAAGCTTGGATATTGTTCAGGTCTTGTTGCATTTGAACATGGACTGCTTCAGCATCTGAGGAGTTATGAATCTTCAGTGAACACCCCCACTTCTGATCTTATGATAGAGGGAAGGTTGTTGAAAGCAGATAAAGATGGTTGGGCCTAGGACACTACCCAGAAGTACTCCTGCAGAGGGGTCCTGGACCTGAGATGACTGACCTCCAAAAACCACATCCATCTTCCTATATGACCCCAACCTATGGAGAGTTTGCCCCGTTTCAGGTTTCGCTGGAGCTCCTTCAACATTTGGTTGAATGTGGCCTTGATGTCAAGGACTGTCACTCTCACCTCACCTCTGGAATTCAGCTCTTTTGATGATGATATTTGAACCAAGGCTGTAATGAAGTCAGGAGCTGAATGGCCCTGGCAGAACCCAAACTGGGTGTCAATGAGCAGGTTATTGCTGATCAAGTGTTGCTTGATAGCACTGTTGACGTCACCTTCCATCATTTTACTGATGATTAAGTGTAGACGGATTGGGCAGTGATTGGTCAGGTGGGACATGTCTTGCTTTTAGTGTACAGGGCATAACTGGGCAATTTTCCACATTATCAGGTAGGTTTGCTGCAGCTCTACGGGAACATATTGGCAAGGACAGTAGCAAGCTCTGGAGCACAAATCTTCAGTGCTATTGCCAGAATACTGTCAGGGCCCATAGCATTGGCACCATACAATGCCTCTAACCATTTCTTGATATCACATGGTGTGAACTGAACTGGCTGAAGACAGGCATCTGCGAAGCTGGGAGCCACTGGAGGAGGCAGAAATGAACTATCCACTTTGAATTTCTGGTTGAAGATTGTTGCAAATGCTCCTGCCTTATCCATTGATGGGCTTGGCTCTTCCATCATGGAGGATGGGGATACTTGTGCAGTCTCCTTCTCCAATGAATTGCTTAACTGTCTACCACCACATGTCTGGGTGTGGCAGGACAACAGAGCTTAGATCTGATTCTTTGGTTGTGGGATTGCTTAGCTTTGTGCACCATTTACTGCTTATGCTGTTTAGCATGCAAGTAGTTGTGTCTGTTAGCTTCACCAGGGTGACAGCCCATTTTTTAGGTAGTCTGGTGTTGCTCCTGGCATGCCCTCCTGCATTCTCCATTGAACCAGAATTTCCATTTGCCTTCTGAAATAACCTAGTAAGCCACTCAGCAAGTGCAATTAGGATGCAAATAAATGCTTGTTCTTCGAAGGACAAATAAAAAAGTACTACGAAAAGATGAAATTGAACTGTCACATCTTAAAGTAGAATTTTAAAATATATAAAACAAAACATAAACTTTTAGTGTGCATGCTATGAATCATGGCTGTAAATCCTGAATGAGAAAGTTCTTAGCAATGGTTGACAAAGGTGGCTGACACATGTGAAAAAGTAGTAAGCAATTACCAAGGATTATAATGAATAATCCACCAGTACATTTTGTTAGATTGAGAACTACCTCAATTAAAACACCAAATTAAAGCCAAGTGTTTTAATTAGCTGCCTCCCCTATTTCACACACAAACTTTGTGTACTGTTCAAGTCCGACTATTAATAGATGGCCCAGGATACGGCACTTTGTTTGAGATAAACACTTTTGGTGTTCTGCTTTATCTCACCTCTTTCTCACGGCAATTAAGAACCTGGCATTTTCATGCAACAAAAAGAGAACTCTTTGCTCTTTTGTACAAATCATAGGAACCTGCCTCGCATATCAAATCTCTTCATAACGTTAAACAAAAATCCAAAAGAAAGAATTGCGGATGCTGGAAATCTGAAACTAAAACAGAAATTGCTGGAAAATCTGGCAGCATCTGTGGAGAGGAATCAGGGTTAACATTTCAGTCAGTGGACTTGAAACATTAACTCTGATTTCTCTCCACAGATGCTTCCAGACCTGCTGAGATTTTACAGCAATTTCTGTTTATGTCTTTATAACATCTGTTGGATGGTTTTGGTGGGTGTGGGTGTTGGGAAAAACATCCTTCACTCTAATTATTTGATGTTTTGGGAACGAAAAAGAATTGAGCATTTTGTGATTTTTGTAAAATCACAATTTTCTTACCCATAGGAGATCCAATTGAAACCGTCCGTCTGTTAGATTGCCCCAGTGTTGTCAATAATTGCAACAATTTACAAAGAAAGACAACACAGATCTGTAGTCTTAGATGGCGCTAGTCATATCAATCTGCATTGCCCGCCAAAGATTGCAACTACACAGCTCCGAACCAAGTTCTCAAGCAGAAGTACGAATGATCCTGCCCCCAGTTCTTTCTACAAACAAACACTGATGTCATAGGAGAGGCTAAACAGTGACGCAGGCATGATTTAAGGACATATTTGTCAGTATGAAATTTGAAGTTATTCCAAAAATGTTAAACAAAGGTCTCTTCACTGGGAACAAAAATATTCTCTTTTCCTTTTCATCAATATTGGCTGGCTAGTCATTACTAAATGAGTTTCATTAAAATTGATATTGCTCAGAAAATATCATTTTACAACAATGTATGTTGAAAGACAACAAAAACATGGATTAAAAAGAAGCTTTCAAAGTGAGATCAAGGTAAAACTAAAAAAAAAACAGCCTTTTTGGGCAGGGTTATCAAAATACTGGAGTAAAAGCAAATATAAATGTAATATGATCTAACAGAAAGATAGAATGGTGTTTATCTCAAACAAAGTGCCGTATCCTGGGCCATCTATTAATAGTTGGACTTGAACAGTACACAAAGTTTGTGTGTGAAATAGAGGAGGCTGCATAACTAAAACTTGGTTTTAATAGGTGAACAGTGTAGCTGGCAATTTTGAATTACACATGTAGGTACTTCTCAAATCTATTGACAACCACAGAACTCCTGCCAAATAATGTTATTCTTTTTGAATAAGCATACCTCTGGTTTTCTTCTCGTTCTGCAGGTGACATCATCCTACTCTTTGCTTTCAGGTGCTCAATGACAGCATTTTGTTTCATTACAACCTTATCAACAAGGAAAATAATAATTAATGCATTGAAGATAACAGGCAAAAAAAGTAGTATACATTTCAAATTTGAATGATTAGTTGAAAGAAAATTCTCAGTTGATGCTATGTATTTTGATAATAGCCAGGGCATTTTTTCTGCTGGGCTGGGGTGTGTGTGGGGTCAGCAGTGGAGGAAAATAGCACAAAAAAGAAAGGTTGGGCACATTGCTAAAGAGAGTGAAGGAGAAAGTAAAGTAAAAAAAAAAAAGAGTGAAACTCAACCAGCACCACACACATTTACCCAGTGACAATATGGGTGACATTCAACTTTACAGTCAAGGCAATTCCAGGGGGCATTTTCTAGCAGGCAAGGTCACTCCTAGACGGTCACTTCTGAAATAAAATTCACTGATTACATTCAGAGCCCCTCATACGTGGTTGATTCAATTAACTTCATCTCATAGGCTTGGCAGGAAGTAGCATTAAATTCTGATTTGTTGACCAAATTTAAACATTATTTGCAAAAAAAACTTTAATCTACAATGATGGCTTTGCCCTCATTTGTTTTAACATTTCATTTGTAAACCTACCAACTACATAACTGGGCAGACTGCATTCTGCAGTGATCCTGACAAGGAACACATTTTCTCTCGGCAGTATGTTGTACCATACCATCACAAGTGTATGGGGAGTAATCAAGAGGGAAGATAGGTAAATACAAAGGAGACGAATTCAGTTTAGGAACTAAATTGGGAGTGTGGCAATCTTAAATCCTTTTATAATGCAATGTTTTAGTATGAGTGACTATACCTAGCTTCATGATGACCTGCTTCCATGAATTGATGCACCATTTAAGAACTACAGTTTACAACTTGAGTTTTTGCAGGATAAACTTCACTCGAGAAAAGCAGTAAGCAGAGGGAATAATCTTTCTAAATACAAAAAAAGGACAAGAAACCCTAGCTGTTACTGTGCATCTCCCAATGCAAGGGATGTACGAGCTCAGGTGCCCTGAAGAGAAAATAAATTTTTAACAACTCTACAGGATGGTGCAAATTCATTGTTTAAAATGAGTGTATAAAGCTATATTTTTCTACTTAAATTGATGCACAAGTAATGGCTGCAATTCTCAAAATCTTGGCAACTGCAACTACATACACTTATACAAAAGGTACCTAGTAACTACATTTAATTTCTGATAAAGAGTTTTTCACCTGTTTCTGAATAATTTCGTTTTGATTTGTAGTTTGTAGCATGTGCTCCCTCTTAGCCTCAATCTGCAGCTGTTTCTTTTGCTGCTGTTGCTCACGGATTTGTTGAATTCGCTGTAGGTGCTCCTGGACACTGGCTGTTTGTACACTGACCACATTCTGAATCTGCTGAGCTGCAGTCAAACCTGGTTGGTGAATCTGAACAGGGACCTGTAGTTTGATTTGATGCTGAACCGCACCTGGGGTGACCTGAGGCAGTGCTTGAGTGTCAGCTGCTGTCTGATTTGGAACTTGAGGATGATGCTGAGGTTGTGGAGATATTGTCTGAACAGTGGCTTGATGTTGCTGAGGCTGTAACTGCGGTCGCTGTGGAGACTGTACACTTAGTTGATTCCCAGCTTGGGTTGAAGGAACTTGCGTTTGTGGTGGAGCTTGTGCTTGGACGACAGGTTGAGCTTGTGATGGAGACTGTACCTGGACCACAGGCTGGGCTTGTGTTGGCTGCGTTTGAGCAGGCTGTATGGAGGTCAATGGCTGAGAGGCAACTGAAGTCTGAACAGGAGAAGGTGGGGGAAGCGGAGGTGGTGATTGGATCGGGGTTTGCATTTGTTGTACATGTGTCTGCACCTGTTTCTGTTCTGTTGAAGCTGCAGAACAAAATTAATATATCATCAGCATCTCATGCAAATTACACACGATTAATAAATGATTGTTAATTGCAATATTAAGTACAGTAAAACCAGTTTTCCATTTAAAATAATTTGCAACATTATTAGTACAACAATTTAGAGAAATTAATTTCCTGCAAAGAATTAAATTAATTTTGATGTTTAACTGTAAAAGAAAGGTAGCATTTGAGTATCATTTTGGTCAAGAACACTTATTTTTATTCTCCAGTTCTGAACAGTCACATCAGACTCAAAACATTAGCTGTTTCTCTCTCCACAGGTACTGTCAGACCTGCTGGAATTTCTCCAGTACTTAGCTTTTATTTCAGATTTCCAGCATCTGTAGTATTTTGCATTTACATTTTTATTGGGCCTGTGATGTCCATGATTGACCTGGATTCACCGGCTAGCTGCATGGTGTAGAAAGTTTAAAAAAAATTCTATTTATAGTAGCTGAGCATTTAGAAATTCAATTTTTGAGAATACACTCTCCGCGTGTTTACTAACAAATTTTTAAAACTAATACATTGACAATGAATGACAGCAAGGGAATTTCCTTACCTGGTGCTGTTGTCGCAGAAGCTACTGTTGTTGCAGCAGCTGATGCTGTTACTGTTGGCAGAGGTGTGAAAAGGAACCTCTGAATAGTTCCATTTGGCATGGCTGCCTGCATTAGCTGTTGTCCTGGCCCAGGAATTACTGACACACCTTGTGGGATAAGCTGAAGCTGTCCCGTTGTTTGTCCCTGCCCTTGAATCACCACAGTCAACCCCTGACCTCCACTCTACAACAAAGAAAGCAGCATGATAACCAATTAGAAAAGTCTTAAAAGTACTCTGGTTGCTTCTGAGATTTTATAGGAGTTGCGAAGGTACATAAGGGCATTGGTATATTAACACGAGTACAGAATAAGGTAATAAAAAAAATTAACAGCTCAACCCACCCCTCACAATTAGTAGCGAGTTGAGAGAATTTGTGGTTTTTTTAATGAAGGAACAAAAATTTTAATGGTGTGCTCTGCTATTAAAGAACCACACATTCCCAAACTTTGAGATAAACGATGGATTCAATTCTACCTGATCCTCATGGAATAAGATGTTACAATTTTAAAATCATACCTAAATGCATCAATTTACTGTCTGGTACGCATTAATAATGTGTAAAATTAAACTTTTAACACAGAGCTTCAAATAACAAAATTCTCTGCACACACTGCCTGTTAAAATTGCTGTCGTTCAGAAAAGATAACTTTAAAACAAGATATGACAATCTTCATGATTTGGAATTTTCAGAAACATCAACTTTCATACAACAAATTGAAAGAGAACTTGTTAAACTTTGCTGAAATGGAACATATGCTACTGACTAAAGGATTGTACAGTACTGAGGGTTAAATGGGCATTTTGTAATTCTCAAATCAGCTGTTAGAGAAATTCCCAAAATGATGTACAATTCCCAATTTAATCTCCACAACACTAACCTGTCCTTGCGTGAGCTGGGTTAGCTGTGCCATTGTTAATCGGACTTGTCCTTGTTGTGGCCGCTGGGCTGGCTGTTGACCTTGTGGTGTGGCAGGCCGACTTTGGAGAGGTTGCATAGCTGTAGTTGGTGCAGTCACCATCTTCGGCGTTGAACTTTGAATCAAATTACCTGTACTTGACACAGTTGTTACTGGTTGTCCACGGATAATCTGCGTGACTACCTGTTGGTTTTGAGCTGGAAGGTAAACAAAGCATCTACATGAAGTTTAGTTAGGATTTGTTTAGTTAGGCATACGTCATAATGAACACCTGTCTTCAATATTAGAACAGTCTGCGCTAAAAAATTTCGCTCAATTTTAAATTAGTGTACATTCCTATGTTTATTCTTCTTAAATGTACTTAATACACAGCCTTACTTTGCACGTTACATAGACTGCTGACAAATATATGGCATGCCCAAAGACCAAGCAACATCAGAAAAGATAGGAAAGCAGTTAAATACTTAAGAAAATAGAAACACAGTGGGGGATTACAGAATGATGACTGATTTGAATTAAGTGAATAAATCTTCTTGGACTTAGCATAGGCTGAATATATTTAACAGTTTCTGCACTATCATAAATCTCTACGATTCTAATAAGGTGATCAGAATCCAAATTCTTAAGTTCTTGTCACTGGAGGAGAGCGTATAAAATTACATATCAAAGAAGTGAATCAACTGGGTAAAACATATATCTAGAACAAAACCATGCATGCAATACTGAGACCATACAATTAGTACTTCAATAACCCAAGCATTGTGGGCTTGCTGACAGCTATTGTATGTGATTCCTAAACAATGACCCCTCAGGAAAATACATAGGTATGAACCCAAGACAGAGTTTGGCCAGGATGTACCCAAAAGCCAGACATTGCTTGAAGTCATTTCTGAGTGGACATGTGATTCTACAAAGTGCACTGGAACATCTATGCGTAGAATCCCTACAGTTCAGATAGAGGCATTCAGCTAATTGAGACTGCACTGACTCTCCAAAGCGCATCCCACACTATCCCCTTAACCAGGCATTAAACTTGGCTAATCCACCTAGATGGCACACTCCTGGAGACTAAGGGGCAATTTAGCATAGCCAATCCACCAAACCTGCATATTTTTGGACTGTGGGAAGAAACTACAGCACCTGGCGGAAACTCACGCAGACATGGGGAGAATGTGCAAACTCCACACAGCATCATCCAAAGGTGGAATGGAAGCCAGCACCCTGGCGCTAAGGCGCAGCAGTGCTAACCACTGTGCCATCATGCCACCCTTGAAAGTAAATCAGTGTCAGTGCAGTGGGACACATGACCAGAGGAGCCAAAGGAGAGTCAATCAGGGATGGGCACTTGGCTGCTGGCCAGCTAGAGAGCCCATGTCTCACGAGTGAATAAAAAAAACATTTCAACAAAGAAGAATGGTGAGGCCTCAAACCTCAACCCGTAGATGTCAAGAACAGAACTCTACCTGGGCTCAATGTGGCCCAGTAGAGGGGTAAGAGAGAGTGCGCGAGAGAGAGCACGAGTGAGATTGAAACAAAGAGAGAAAGAGAGAAAGAGAGAAAGAGAGAAAGAGAGAAAGAGAGAAAGAGAGAAAGAGAGAAAGAGAGAGAGAAA